GCCTCCTAGCCGGCCCCGACGCCTAGCCGGCCCCGTCGTCCGACCCGCCCCATCACCTAGCTGGCCCCGTCGCCTAGCCGACCCCGTAGCCCAGCCGGCCCCGCCTCCTAGCCGACCCCGCCTCCTAGCCGGCCCCGTTGCCTTGCCAGCTTCGTCGCCCAGCAGGCCCCGCCTCCTACCCGACCCCGTCACCTAGCAGGCCCCGTCGCCTAGCAGGCCCTGTCGCCCAGCCGGCCCCGTCTCCTAGCCGGCCCCGCCTCCTAGGCGACCTCGCTTCCCAGCCGGCCTAGTCGCCTCGCCGGCCTAGTCGCCCAGCCGGCCCCGCCTCCTAGCCGACCTCGTCGTAGCAGGCCCCGTCGTCCGACCGGCCCCGTCCCCTTGCTGGCCCTGTCGCCTAGCCGCCCCGTAACCCAGCCGGCCCCGTCGCCTCCACGCCTAGCTGGCCCCGTCGCCTCGCCGCTCTCGGCCCCGTCTCCTAGACGCCTCGCTGCCGTCCTCGGCCCTCTGCACCATGCTGCACCGCTCGGCACCAAACTACACCGCACTGCACCGCATTACACCGCATTGAACCACCCTGCATCGCCCTGCACCACACTGCACCGCACCCTACCGTACTGCACCTCCCCCTACCGCACTGTACAGCACTGCACCTCACATCACCGCTTTCCGCCGCACCCTACTGCTCAGTACCGCCTTTCTGCTACTGCAGCGACCATGATGGCGGACTCGGTCCTGCGTTTTGATGTGGAGGGGCAGTCGATTGAGTTCAACTCGTGGCTCATCGACCTCCAATGACACCTGACTGGTCAGCGGCAGGACCGCCACTCCCTGGCCGTCCACATCAACGGTACGATCCCCTGCTCGGACCCCCCTGTGTCTTCCTAGGTTTCCCCCTCGACTCGTCTGTGTGAGAGTACGACCCCGTTACACCCCTTGTCCCTTTCCTTATTTCCTTCCTCTTTCATTTCTCTTTTTATCTCATCTCATTGGATTTCCTATTCTCCATTTCCCATTAAACCTTTGGTTTATCCTGCTATTATAATTATATCACCGACCAGGCTTGGGATGTACTAGTGCGCTATCTGGCATAATCCTGCCGTAATCCCTTAAAAACCAATAGCCTCGCGTGGCTATACGCAGGGTGATTCTATCTTCTAGAAGGGTCTATTCCCTTAGGATAAGATAAACCTGGTTACCTGATGTACCTTGGAAGTATAAAAGCGCCTTGTACTGATCGATAGTGCAACCTTTCCTCGACACATTCGATCCTGTGACAGTCTGACTCCCGCCTTCTCACCGTTCCTTTTTCTCTCGAGATATCACCTTTGACGAGTCCGTCTCCTTCTACCACCGCTTTCCACACCGTGGTCCCCCGGTCACTCCCCCCAGTTCCGGGCTCCCCCACCTCCCCCGGTCGCCCCTATTCCCCCCCCCCTCCCCGCCCTGCTCCGTCTGGTGTGTCTCACGTCACCCCCCTTCCGTCAGCTGTCCCTGCAGAGGAGTCTGCTGACTCTCATGGCTCGGCGGAGTCTCTTCCCCCGCCTGTCCGTGCCCCAGTCTCCCCTCCCCTGTCGCCGCCGTTGCTGTCCCAGTCGCAGCCGCCTCCGCCGCTTCCGCCGCAGCCGCAACAGCAGCTGCCGTCGTCATCGCTGCTGGTGTTCATGCATTCTGGGGGTGCTGGGGAGCGGGCTGGAGCTGGTTCTGGAGCGGGCTCAGGGGGTGCTGGCGTGGGGCTTCTCGTAGGGAGCCGTGTTGTCGCTGGAGGTTCTAGTGTTGGAGTCGGGCCACAGTCGCAGCCGTCACCGCCGGTATCCGCTCTTCGCCTCCTCGGTCTTCCTTCCCCTGACCGCCTGCCGGTGCCTCCCCCGTCGCCGCCGCCGCCTCCTCCTCCGCCGGTACACGGCCCAGTGTTTCCTCCCCCGGACTCCTCTCCGGCTCGTTTCCCTTCCTGTTCTCCTCCCCTCTCTCTTAACCCGACTCCTCCGTCGCACGTCTGGTCTCGTCGTCCGTCTCGTGCTCGTCCTACCTCCCTTGTTCTGCTTTCTCACCCTATGTTGCTGCGCTCTCACACGGCTTGTGCTCCTCCTCTCCTCCTGTCTCCTCCTCCGTGGTCCCTTGCTGTGGCCCCGCCTCTGTTCTCGCATTTCCTCCGTGCTGCGCGTCCCCTTGTTCCTCGTGTCCTTGCCTTTCTCGTTACGGACCCGTCCGTCCCTGTCTCGAGTCTGTCGGATCTTGTCGTTGCTATCACTGACTTCGCCGCTACCCACTGCCTGGACTACGCCACCGCACTGTTCTCTTACCCTGCCTACCCTCCGGCCGTCGGGGGTGTGGCTGCTCTTGGCAGTGACGTCCTAGAGGACATGTAGCTCGAGCTCGCTTTCCTGTCTGAGGCCGCTCCCCATCTCTGTTCCAGCCTACTAGTCCCTTAGGTTGACCCAGACGCCCTTGACATCCCGACCCCTCGTACCTACGCTGAGGCCACCTCGGGACCCTGGGCCTCTCAGTGGATAGGTGCCATGGACCAGGAGATGGCATCTTGGAGATCCACTGGCACCTTCGTCGACGCAATTTCCCCACCTGGGGTGAACGTAGTCGATGGCCGGTGGCTCCTCAAGATGAAGCGCCCACCTGGAGAGCCGCCTATCTTCAAGGCGCGCAATGTTGCTCGAGGCTTCAGTCATCGTGAGGACGACCCCACTCCAAAGATGACGACTCTTCAGGCACTACTACACGTAGCAGCACAGCGTGACTACGAACTGCACTCCCTCGACTTCTCCACAGCTTTCCTCCAGAGTAGTCTACACGAGCAGGTCTACCTGCGCCGCCCCCAGGGCTTCTCCGGTACCTTTCCTTCTAGCACCGAGTGGCTCCTCCGGCGCCCTGTCTACCGCCTGCGCCAGGCGCCCCGTGAGTGGCACGACACGCCGCGTGCTACACTTGCTGACTTGCAGTTCTTCCCTTCGTCTGCAAACCCCTCGCTCTTCATCCATTCCGGCCACACTCCATTCTACATCCTTGTCTACGTAGACGACCTGGTCTTTGCTACTGCAGACACAGACGCGCGGACCTCCGTGAAGGCCGAGCTGCTGAGGAGACACACTTACACTGATCTAGGAGAGCTGCGCCACTACCTTGGCTTACAGATCTCCAGGGACAGAGCAGTGCTCACCATCACTCTCTCACAGTCACACTTGCTGCACCAGGTTCTTCAGAGGTTCGGCCTTCAGTTCTATTCCGCACAGCCCACCCCTCTGCCAGTAGATCACAGACTCTCTACCCCAGTCTCTGAGGAGGTCGTAGAGCCTAGTGGTCCCTACGCTGAACTGGTAGGTTGCCTCATGTACCTGATGACTTGCACTCGTCTTGATCTCGCATACCCTCTCAGCATCCTGGCTCGCTTTGTGGCCCCCGGCAAACACCGACCACAACACTAGTCGGCCGCTAAGAGGGTTTTACGTTATCTAGCAAGTACATCAGGCATGGGGCTAGTGCTAGGAGGACGTAGACCAGTGGCCCTTACAGGGCACACAGACGCTTCTTGGGCAGACGACGCCGAGACTCTCAGGTCCTCACATGGCTACTGCTTTATCCTTGGTGCACGTGCCATCTCGTGGAGGTCCACCCGCTCCTCATCTGTTGCCCAGTCTAGCTGTGAGGCTGAGATTCTACGCTGGTGCCATGGCGGCACAGGAGCTCCGCTGACTGACCTTATTGCTCACCGACCTGGGTGAGCGGCCTAGCTCTTCCCCGGTTCTGTATGCTGGCAACAGGGCCATGATGCTCCTGTGTCAGGAGCCACGACTTGAGGGCAGAGCGAAGCACATCCAGCTGCGGTAATTCCTCCTGCGCAAGCTGCAGCAGCGTCGCCAAGCTCGTGTAGTACACTTGGCCTCCAGTGCCAACACAGCTGATATCTTTACTAAGGCGCTTGTGCCTAAAAATCATCAGCGGCACTGTGTACAGCTAGGTCTCGTTCCTGTAGCCTCTCACTTGCTAGAACCTTGATTGTGTACAGAACTTGATATATATTACCCTGACTGGCCTTGTAGCCTCTTTCTAGTGGCTGGACTAGTAGTGCCGCCCTGGTCTTGCTCTTGCCTTGTCTGTATTCGTTTGACTGGTCTTTAGATCCGTGCCTCAAAGGCTGGACTAGTAGTGCCACTCTGAGCTGCTTCTGTTTCATCAAGCACTGCCCCTATCTAGTCCAAGGGGTGTGTCAAACATATATTGCATATTGTTATAGACTATATAGGGTTGTGCCTTAGAGAGTACAACCCATAAGGTGATATTTCATTGTATGTCACTGTTCTAGTCATTCTTTCACTTCAACAATATTCAGCATAAAGGTTTAAATGGGCTTATCCTATATACAATGGAAATAACGGGTCTAAATAGTGATAAATCTTAAAAAAAGAATTGTCGGAAATCAGGTCTACTGGGGCTTGAAAATTTTAGGGTCTTAAATTTGGGCAAGTACGGGTAGAATGTACCATCCATGCGTGCCTTATGTCCCATTGGTTTTCTAGAATGTATTTAAATTTTGGTTCCAACAAATTCATTCGTCTGTAGTGAGTACGAATATTTTCTCAGAGTAGGTATGCGTATTTTTGTTGCCTTGATGTTGTTAAAAGGATTCTAGTACAGGTGACTATTGGTGGCATATATAAACGTCAGCCCGATATGGTAATGTAATTGGTGTGCTGGTTTTAGTACCGAATCCCGTTGGACTGGGATATTGTCGCCCATCAGCGGCAAGTTACCGCGTGTGCAGTTCGGTTTGCGAACAACTCGTCACGCGGTCTTTTTCGCGTGGTCGGTTTCTTGACAATCCTGCCAATCCGCGTCGGCCGTGCCACGCCCAGCCCATGTACGCCGTGTTGATGGGCATGTGGTAAGTTGGCGGGGGCTTCGAGGTGAGGCTGCGCGTGAGTGTTGGGGGCAGGTGTGGGGTAACCAACAACGGTGGGGAACTTTTGGGACCCCTCTTTTTTTTTTTTTTGGGACATCTTGGGACATAACCTACCTGCCGCTGCGAGCATAGATGCCGCCTCTTGAGAAATACCTCCTTTTCTCCTAAGAAGGATTTAAACGCTGCAGGGTCTTTAAATGCCCGTGTCGCGTGTAAGGCACCTGCGTGGGGTACCCGCGTGCCAAAATTCCCAAACTTGCCTCAACCTTCCTACCTTTGGCTGGGAGTCCCCTAGGAGTTGTACCTGACAGCCAATCTCGTCCTCCTACTCAACCAACCTTCCTACCGTTGAACTACTCGGCACCCTGGTTTTATTTTTGAGGCGCCTAATAACTTCCTCCTACCCTACCAGCCTTCCTACCGTTGAACTACTTGGGACGCTGGTTTTAAGAGCTCTACTGGAAACAGGTCCAACCCGCTTCTAAGCCAGCCGACTGCCCCAAAGAACTGCTAATCTCCGGCAACATTCGCTAAGCCGGCAGCTATGGCGAGTGCAGCGGTGATGGTGGAAAGAACTGGATCAGGGCGCGAACCAACACAATCCGTCGGCCATTTTAGTCATGCAATAACGGGGACGCCAGAGGACGCAACTGGGTGCGTGGTCGAATCCCCTCCAGTGAAGGCCGTGCCGTGGACGCGTATTAAAACCGCCGAGAGGTGCGGAGAGGCTTAGGGATAGGGGAATAGACAGGCTGTAAGGCTTTGCGGATAAAGGGTGGATGAGCGGGAGAGAGAGGGTGGGGGAAGTCGGGGGGCGAGAGGTGGCTCACGCAGGACTGAGTCTGACTCACGTGAGTGGACGTGTGTGTGCTCTGCGTGGCTCATGTGGGGATTCTTTCTACCATGGTCACGTGGTGGTGTTACATATATTCTCTATCTTGCCCTTCGTCTCTCAAAGCAGTGTTACTTGGTCGCCCTTCCCTTCCAATCCAACCTTAACCATTTCAATCATCTCCCCCCCCCTTTGCCCCACCTTCCCCCTCCTCGACCCCACTCCACGTTCTCCTCCTCCCCCCCCCCCCCCCCCCCCGCTCCCTCCTTCCGCCCTTCCAGTCTTCTGCTCCAGGGGAGGCCCGCAGCAGCAGCAAGGCTGGCGGAACGGCTGCTGGCGCAGCTGCTGAGGCAGCCGCTGAGGGAGGGGAGGCGGGAGAATGGGGAAGAAAAAGGGGAGGAGACAACTTGGGGTATGGGGAAGGGGGAGGGGGAGCGGGAGGGAGAAGGAGATGTGGATGGGAGGAAGCGTAGGGAGAGCAGTGAAGGGTTGTCTGAGCCAGGCGAAGCAGCAGCAGCAGAGGTGGTGGGAGTGGTGTGGGTTCAGGCCAATGCCAGAATGGGCAGGTATTCACAGTTAACCGTCCGTAGAGTACATTCACGCAATTCCCCCTCTAATCTCCCAGGCTTATTCCCGCACAATCCATACGATATTTAAGGTGCGTAAAGAATTCAGGTGGTCATGGATTTAGGCCAAGATCCTCCCCTTCACCCCCCACTCCGTTCGACCTTTCTGTTCTCTGCCTATCCCCCCTGCCCCTCTTCCCTGCCTACTGCCAGTTGTTACCTAACACCCCCCTCCCCCCTTCCCCCCCCTCCCTCCCCCCCCCCCGCCGTTTCCCTCTCCCATTCCCGGACAGGCATTCTCAGGTTCTATTGAGTCGACTCAAAAATATTACTTTTGAGTCGACTCAAAAGTTATTCCCTCCTCCCCCCCCTGGCCTTTCCCGCTCCCATTCCTGGACAGGCATTCTCAGGTTCTAGCTGGGTTCAAGAAACTCTTCGGTGCTCTCTCACACGTGCCTCCGTCCCTCTTCCTCATCTGGTAACCCTTTCCATCTTTTGAAGCTCCAAATTCTGCAATGCTCTTGAAGATTTGTTCGTTGCCGCAGCAGCAGCAGCAGCAGCAGCAGCAGCAGGGAGACGCTTAGCCAATGAAGTTGCTCCCTGTTTAAGTACCCACGCTTTTTCTTGCCACTGATGCAACCGATGCAACCGATTTGATCTGATGGTACACTCTGCTCCGCACCATAGTCACCAGCGTCGTCATGTCAAACATCTCAAGAACCTACGTGCCTCAATAACCTCCCAGCTTCTTGCCTCCACCCGCAGGCTTTCCCTTGCCGTTTCTTCCCGGGAGTTCCGCATGGCTCGGGTAGCCCTAGACGAATTGCTTACACAGCTGATGACCAGCACCAGCACCAACGCCACCACACCTGCCACCAGCAGCACCACCGCTCTATCAAGGCAGAGTGTGTGGGGGGGGGTGGGGAGGGCGTGTGCGCAGGTGTATATGTGCACCGTGCTGGTGCAGGGACTGGGGGATGTCAGTGGGGCGAGGCAGTGGCTCATGCACGCACGCATGCAGCAGCAGCAGCAGCAGCAGCAGCAGCAGCAGCAGCAGCAGCAGCAGCAGCAGCAGCAGCAGCAGGGGAATCAGGGGGGCGTGCCGGCATCACCACTGTTTTCCCCATCAGATCTTGATGTAAGCTCCACGCGGCTCTTCGTTTCTCGTTCAAGTCCTTCTTTCTTGAAATTTAACTTTGCGTAATGCTAACCTTTCACCACTTACCATTGCAAGTTCTGTCACACTTGAAGCCCCATCTCCCTTCATCACCTCACCCACATTCCTTCCTCTGGCAGTACCTTGATCAACAGTTAGCCCTGGCAATCCGCCTCCTCCCATCCGCCTCACACCCCTCGACCTCCAACCCCCATCCCACATCCGGCAACCTAGCTGCACCTGCTACCTCCGCAGCCACGCCCAATGTTACAGCACCCGATGCCGCAACGCACGTACCAGGCAGCAGACCCCCCGACTCGTCCGCTTCTACCCTTGCTCGTCCGCAAGCTCCGTTGCAAGGCTCAGCTTCACCATCGTCACCACCCTTCATTCAGCAGCAGCAAGAGCAGCAGCAGCAGGGAGAGGATAGCACAGTGGTTACAGCACTCGAACCTTCGATTTCCAGAGCACAGCTCAAGACTTCCTCCTCTCTACCCCCACCTTCTCATCGCCCCGCCTCCTCCTCTTCCCTCTCCGCTTCCACCCGCGCCTCCTCTCGCCTCCCAGCCTGGATGCTCGCGCTTGTGTGCGCATCTCAGTCCGCGTCCCGCCAAGCAGTGGCTGTGGCGACTGCGTGCCTGCGTGCGGTGGGGCGGTGCGGGCCGGAGACTGCACTTGTTGCTGCGGCGTGCCTTGCTGTCCTTCTGCTCATGCGCTTTCGGGCTCAAGCACAGAGGTGAGACAGCTGTGGGAGCATGGATGGGGTTTTGGGAGGTGTGGCCAAACTTGCGCTCTTCTCACCTTCGTGCTCTCACCGACCATATCGTGCCTCGTCCCTCGTTTCCCTTTCTCTCCCCTCTCATCCAATCTCTCGCGCCTGCCTCTGCACACGTCATGTCTAATTTTGCCAACGTCGTGCAAAGCTGGCATGCTCCGTGTGTACTACACCACGTTGAAAAGTTCTGTCTAGTTTTTTCTTTCGTTTTTCTTTTCTTTTCTTCTTCTCTTTCTCTCTCTTTTCTTTTCCTGGAGCTCGCTCTCCCGTTAAAGCCCGCGGATAAAATAGCAGACCTGGAAACCACTTGAATTTGGTGCTTTGAAATCCGTCTAAGTAGAGAATGAAAGGCAGCTTTGAGTTCAAGCCTGAACAAGAAAAGTGCGTCGAAACGAATTCTAGTTGAGCTTGCTGATTGGAGGAATGGCGAAAGAACTCGTTTTGCTGTTTGTTGCGACACGATCATTCGGATGCGATTTGGGCAAAAACACTGTGTGCATCGCACGGAGTTTCTACGATGGGTTTGGGCGAGAAGCTTGCGACGAGGAAATACAAGCGCTTTATGACTGGGGAGTTCAAGTGATTTCCAGGTCCACAATTCCGGAATCAGCTACTGTTCGCCAAAAAAATACTGTTCTTCTCGCATTTTCACTGTTCACGGAACCAGGAATTCGGTCGCACTGTTGTGAACTGAACTAGCAAGAAAGGAAAGGTTTAGCTAGGGAAGATTGACGAGAGAGGGTGTCGATTAGGAAGAGAGGAGTACGAGGGGATTGTACCCTCTACAGTAAGGTTCAGTAACAACTACCAAGCCTATCAATTATATATAACTTATATAATCTTAACACGCACGACGCGTATTGCACTGTTCACCGAATGGTTTCGTGCAAAACTGTCGCCAAACCGCCACGGTCAGATTCCGCTTTGCAAAACTAAATGTTTTTCTTCTGTTTCGTTTACTCTAAAGATCAAGTCTTGTGCCAAGTTCAAGAGGAAATTAAACAGCCCTCTTGATTGCTATTATAGCCACAGGCTTTAAGTTCCCCAATGCTTGCCCATTGATGTGCTTTGATCTGTGTTCCGTGCAGGTTTTTCTCTCAAGCCCGCTCGTCCATGGCTCAAGCAATGCGGGATCTCTGGTCGCTCGCCTTTACTGTTAACCTGAGCCCTCTTGCTGTTGCTGCTCAGCCCGCTACTGGAACTGGAACTGCCTTTAGGTAGTGGTCTTTTATGCATTCGTCAAGCATTTGCGGACATTTTTTGGACTCGGCTTCGCAATTCTTATCTAGTTGCCTGACGCATTAGCTTCGAGGGTAAGACTACCGGTACGTTATAGAATGTATCTGCTAGACCAGTACAATGTTACTTTTCTGTTACAACGGGACGACCTTGTAAGGAATTTTCCATTCCTTAGCGTGCCACACCGTTAATGCGTACACCGACCCCACACGGCATCGACATCCGCCCCAGCTTCGGCCGAACACAGCACCGAACCATTTCCGCGTCACTCCGAAGCGCTCTGCGTCCTCGGATGCCTTCTTCAAACCTGTTAGATCACACGGCTAGGATTGCTCTGGTGTTCCTATATCTTGCTTTGTCATTCCATTGTACCACATTCTGTTATTCTGAATCTAGACATTCGATTCCATGATACTATTTAACACTCAGCTTCGGGGGTAAGACTTCGCTATACAATGTTACTTTCTGTTACAGCGGAACGACCTGATCTTCCAGTTTGCCACGCCCAGGCCAACCAATCTGCTCTCGCCAGCTCCCTCCCTCGCCTCGCTGCCGCTCCGCTGCTCCAGCGCGGCACATTTCCGCTCTGGCGGCCCATTAGTGCTCTCCCGCCCGCCCATCCATCCCCCCCCACCTCCATACAACCTCCCCGATTCCTCGGGAGGTACATTCACAGAAGATATTATCCGCGCGCTTTCTTTCCCCCTCTCTCCCCTACCGTCCCCCGCCCCCCCCCCCCCTTCCCCAGACCCCTCTCCCCCTCCACCCCAACTCCCCGATTCCACGCTAACCCCACCCTGCTCTATTTCCCCAGCGTTTTCTGCTTGCTCTCCGCAAGTTGAGCGGATCCAACGCGCGTTATTCTATTTCAGATCGCGCCGTGTTTCACGGGCTCGACCTGAACGGATTTAGGAAGCAAGCGGCTGCTGTCTCGAGATTCGCTGGTTCCTAAACGTCCTCTTCACGAATTCGTCCGCACCAGAGAAGCTACTCGAGATCTTCGATCGGACATGTCGGCTTGACATCTATAGCTTGAATCCCGATCGCTCGAGTGCCGCTCGGATCCTAATATACCCTTGTTGCGGCGATCCCGTTCCTCATCAACCAGTCGCGAGCCGCCGTGCCGCCGTGCCTCTAGATTCAGCCATGTCCCCTTACGCCCTTCTCCCCTCCGGCCTGCATCGTATAATTCCTCATCCGTCCACCCGTGCTCGTCACACCCCCTTCCGCTCGTCTCCGTCTCAACCCCGTCCCCAATCATCCACCACTCGTTCGCGGATAACGAGGCTAGCGGATTTTGAGTCTAGCGGGCTAGCGAGTCGGGTGAGTCCGAGTCTGCTGAGTCAACGGGCCGTTGACTGTCTAGCCCCGCCGCGAAGAGGGCGATTCGTCGCGCCGTTTAACGCGCCCCGCCGGGTAAACGCGCCGCCCAGCGGCGATCGTTTCTGCCTCCGATACAATCCGTCCCGTTTGAGCGCAACGGCCACGCGGTATAGCCACGTCCCACGCTGTGCCATGGCCAAACTGCCAAACGCTGCTGCTCCCCGCTCCCGCTCCCCTCCCCGCCGCTGCGCCTCCGCCGCCCCCGCTTCTTCCGCCTCCGCCTATCGCACGCGCAAGGGGGGCAAAAGTTTAAGAACTCGGGCAGGTGATAAAAACATCAAGGGGGAAAGGTTGGAGGAGGAAGGAGCGACGCGGAAGGAGGATGGGAGGGAAGGGGGGCAGGCGGAGGAGGAGAAGGAGGGGAAGGAGCGGGGGAGAATACTGGCAGAGTTAGCGGGAAGGATAAAGGTACTTCGGGGGGATGAGGCTGAAGCGTCCTTAAAGGCTTTTTTTGATGGTGGGAAAGAAACGGCAGGTAAAGAGACGGAAGCGGCGGGGCAGGTGAGGGGATCGGATGTGACTGCAACGGGGGAGAAGAACGGCGAGAAGGACGGGCAGGGCGGGCAGGATGTGATTATAGGCGGGCAGGTGGTCCGTGTGACGCAAGAGGACATCGATATAGCGGAGATGATCGACGCGCTTGAGATGGCGTTTGAAAAGCTAGAGGAAGAAAGAGATGCTGGTGATGGTGATGGTGATGGTGATGGTGAGGAGAAGGGGAGAGGGAAGGGGAAGGGAAAAGGAGAGAGGGAGGGGAAGGGGGAGGAGGAGCGGGGGGGAAAGCTGGACGGGAAGGGGGAGGGGGAGGGCAAAGCGGAAGCGGCGAAAACGGAGGGGAAAGACGGGGGGAAGCGGGAGGAGGGACGGGTGGAGGGGGACGAGGACGCAGACACCGAGGAAATGGAGTACGATATAGAAATAGACCTTGGGGAGCTATGGCGAGACGTGGTGGTGCGCTGGCTGCTCTCCTGGAACCTAGGCGCGTCGTGGGAGGGCGACGTGCAGACTCTGACGGCGCTCTTAGAAGAGCTATATACTAACGAGGTTTTGGTGATGACACAGGAGAGGGCGAATGAGGCCATGGCGGCCGCAGTGCGCGCCGGCACGAGGGTCTTCAGGGCGAATCTGGAGAGAGAACTCGTTTGGTATGATGCGGATGGGAAGGTTGTGACTGAATGGACCGACGAGCGAGTGAGTGTCTACGTGGCCGGGACGCTTAGCCTGCTTTTGGATATTTCTATCGATGGGAATACTGTACCGGCCTTCCCGCCCGCTGCTTTGAACTGGCTGGACGAGAGGGATTTGCGGTCGGAAATCTTCGGGCCCGGGGCAGCGGTGGACATTGTTACGTGCGTGCCCGGGCCGTTTGGCGGTAAAGTTTTCGCGTTTGAGCTGCCCGAGGGGAGAGAGGCAGGGGAGGTGTACGCAGCTCTAGATGCCCGGCTAAGAAAAAGGTTTCCAGGGCTCGAGGTCTCGTTAGACTCCATGCAATATGCGATGGATGTGGGAGACGATATGTTCAAGGGAGGGGGGGATGGGTCCGGGGGAGAGAACGACAGAGAGGGAGGGTGGGGCGGGGGGGGAGGAGGAGGAGACGGAGGGGGAGGAGGAGGGAATTGGAACGAGTGGGATCAATTCCAAACGGGCAACGCACCCACTTTCTACAACGCGGGAGCGGCTTTTATCGTCCGGAGAGACGTGTTCCTCCAGCCGGGGCTCCCCCTCGCAGTCACTGCCTTTGCCTCAGCCTTCACTCTCCTCTCCCTCAAATCCCTCCTCCAGCCAGACTTAGCCCTCTCTTCCCCCTCAGATCTCGCCTGGGCGCTTCTGGGCCTATACGCGGGAGTATCCGCCACTGCTGCCGCCACCATCGCAGCGCAGTACCTCTGGGCTTGGTCGTATCGAAAGGAGTCTGACAAGCCTCCCTCACCGCTCTTCTTTTTGCCGCTCTTTGCTCCTGATGTCGGTCTTGTCACTCTAGTGACTCAGATCGTTGCTCCGATTCCCTCCCGCACTGCCCTCCTAGATCTCACCCTTCTCTCCTCCTCCGCCTCCATCCTCGCCTCCTTCGCTCTTCTCCAAGCCTCCGCCGCGTTCCCCTTCCCCCCCGCGCCCTTCTCCTTTCCCTCCGACCTTTCCTCTTTAGGGTTCGACCCCGCGGTTTCCAAAGTAGCGGCAGCGGCGGCGGCGGCGGCATCAGCAGCAGGGGGGTCTGTTCCAGGGGTTATCCCGGTAAACCCGGGGCTTCTGCAACATTCTGCACTGCTACATGAATTGCTGATTCGTCTCTCGACAACGGTAATCAGGACTCCTGATCCTGCCCAAGTCCAGGCAGCTGCAGAGGCAGCAGCAGCGGCGGCGGTGGCGGCGGCAGCAGCAGCAGAAGCAGCAGCAGAGTCTGCAGCAGCAACCGCAGCGGCAACCGCAGCAGCAGCAGCAGGGGCGGCTGCAGGGGCGGCAGACGCAGCGGCAGCGGCAGCTGATGCAATAGCAGCACTGGCTGCAAGCTCAGGGCTCACAAATTTCAACAGTGAAATCGCATCCTCCTTTGCTTCTAGCGTTCTCAACACAGCCAGCGGCAGCAGCAGCAGCATCACAACCACCACTAGCACTATCACCAGCGGCAGCGGCGGCGGCGGGGAGGACATCATTGCGACGATTAGCGCAGCTGCTGCTGACATCAGCAATACCATCTTAGCCACAGCCAGCAGCAGCAGTAGCAGTGTTGAAACCCTAGTCATCCACCCTCTGGCGTTGGCCGGGCTCCTCGGGCTACATTTCTCAGCCATCTCCCTGCTCCCGGCTGTCGGCCTCCCAGGGGGGGATATCCTCTACTCTCTCTTCCGCGACCCAGTCGTGCTCTCTCTCGCAACCACCACTGTCACTATCCTCCTCCTCTTCTCCATCCCACTCAACTTCTCGTGGGTCTGGCCGCTGCTCTTCCTCCTCCTGCCGCTGCTCGCCCTTGCCAAGATCAAGAGACCAGTGTCGGAGGCGATCACGGCCCCGGACCCTGTGCGAGCGTGTCTGGGGGTGGGGCTGCTGCTGGCAGGGGTGGCGGTGATTCTCCCTGCACCGCTGTTTGAGCTTGTGTTTGGGGGGCCGGCTGGGCCCGTGGCAGAGCAGATCCTGATTTCCCTGGGGCTGGTGTGAGGGGCGTGGGTGGGTGGGTGCATTGTTTGTGTGGGTCTACTTGTGTGGTTTCAGCAGGAGAGATGAGGAGTCTCTGGGGTGAGGGTGGCACCAGTTACTGGTAGTACCGTAGCAGGTAAATGCTTGTGAAATGCGGTGCAGGGATGGTGCGAACGAAGAGCTCTTCAATCGTGGTAAACAGAATGATACCCCTGAGGCGAAGAGGTGAGGGAAGGTGAGGTACTGTAGCAATGGATGGAATAATAGGTGTAAGGCGGCATTTTGAAATCAAGTAATTTTATGCAACTGTTGACCATTAGCTGGCGGGACTCCAGCGTACTCATCAGTTGGTGCATACAAGCTACTGAATAATTACATATACAACATTGCTTTTTCGTCAAGGCTGTTAAGGCCCAAGTCCCAAACTGCTTGTTGTGTGCTTCAGGCTTTAGAAAGATGAAATCTGACAATTTTGGGGCATTTTTTCTCGAAACTAGGGCTACACACTCCGCGAAGGCATCTGATTGGTCAAAATCTTGACTGGGGAAGATGCACACTAGATAAATGTGGAAGGCTCAAAATGTGTGTTCGCAGGAAGGCAGATGGCCGACAAACTACAGAAGAGTAGGGTCACTAGGCGTGGGAGGAGCGGGAAGGACGAGCGATCTTACACTGGATTTGCAAGGGGTAACCAGAAGAGCTGCCACCGAAACGGTGTTGTCAGCCTGGCAGTTCAATCGTGGCACATGAGAATGGGGGTCTTTGCAATTTGGGACTTATACATCCCAACTCAACCAGTGCCCCTGAGATTCGCTGACTACGCGAAACGAAATACACTCGCGACAGGTTTGCCGAAATCAACAATTTCATCGCTCGCAAAATATTTATTGTAGCACGTCATGTTTCCAAAGGATGAACGTTTTGGGCCGCAGGCTTTAAGTTAGGGAATCAGCTGACACTTTTTTAGATTTTTTTTTACCAATCAGAGCAAGGGTACTGTTATTAAAACGAAAGTACACAACTGGAGCATGCATTACACGTCACATCACATCTCCTACCCTAGAACACCGCTCGAGCATGGGCCCGCCCAGATCAGCCTGCACATGAGAAGTAAATGAAGGCCCAGCCAGACTTCATTTAGACTCCCTTTCTCTTGAGCCTGGCTCACTTCTTGAGCACCAGAGGGCCCACGTTGTCCCCTGTCGCCTTGTTGTGCTTGGCGTGTGCACCGTCGCACAGGGGGAAAGTCCCGGACCGCCAGCACCTGGTGGCAGGTGGTCGCAGTGAAGAACAGTTGGGGGGATAAGGAAGCGAAACAAGGGAAACGAGTTTGAGGGAGGTGTGTCAGCGGCTCCATAGCCTGGCAGCATCGCACAGCGTGAAGGTCTTAGTCTGCAAGCACCTAGTGGGAAGAGGTACGAGTGAGGAGCATCTTGGAGGGATCAGGAAGAGAAACAAGAGGAAGAGTTTGAGGGAGGTGTTTCAAGGGTGAACGTAGTCCGGCAGCTGCGTCACACAGCCACGAACGCAGCCATGCACGCAAGTACGCATGCAACGCATCCCTTGCATTCCGTTGTTACCTCGACACTCGATCCGCCTTGGTGGGCGCGCGTGCGTCACAATAATGGATACGAAGCAGAACGACAAACCATGTCTCGGTGTTGAGCCGCCATGGCACATAGCGCATTGCAGTTCCACACACGTCGTCTACCCAGCCATCACCTAGCCAATCCCGTGCAGTGCGACGCAGTGCAATGCCGTGCAATGCGGTGCAGTGCAATGCAGTGGCATGCAGTGGGATGTAAGCACGTGCCTGCAGTAAGCGGTGATGGGTTTCTCAAGCTCGCCGACGACGACAGCGTCAACGACCTTCTCCACGTCCTTCTGGATGGCCGGGTTGATCACCACCGCCACCTCGCCCTTGGCCGCCTGATGCGGGGGGTTGCGGGGGTAAGTGGCGGGGGGGGGGAAGGGGGAAAGCGGAGAGAGTGAAGATTAGGTGAGAGTGTAGCAGGGACGAGGGACGACGGCGTCGACAACCTTCTCCACGTCCTTCTGGATGGCGGGGGTTAATCACCACCGCCACCTCGCCCTTGGCCGCCTGATGCGGGGGTTTGCGGGGGGGGAGGAGAGAAGCGGAGAGAGAGTAAAGATTAGGTGCGAGTGTCACAGTGACGAGGGCGACAGCGTCGATGACCTTCTCCACGTCCTTCTGGATGGCCGGGTTGATCAACACGTTCGCCTCGCCCGTGGCCGCCGGATGCGGGGAGAGGGAAGTGTAATTCTGAGGGTTAAAAGGGATTCAAAAAACGGGTAATTTTTTTGGCGTCTCGAAAATGGATGGCATGCAGGCCAGTCCCAGAGGATAGGTAATTTTGGGATCCAAAAGCTACGCGTGCACTGCATGCAATCCGTCGTCAAAGTAAGCTGAGTAAGCAAATGTAAGGAGGAATAGAAGCCACGAACGGCACGCATTTGCAGAGACTAGGTGCATTAGGATGATGAATTCGGCCGTCGTTAAATTACTTAAGTTCTTCGCCGCGCGACTGTTGAGAAATTCACGCGAATGTCAATTCGCAGTCGCCAAACGCGCGCTAACTCCTAATCCACGTTATACACTACGCACCTCAGCACGGACGGACACGCGGCGGCTGGACTTCACTCCGAAGCCGACAGTAGCAGTGGGGGCGGCGAGCAGGGGAGCAGCGACGAAGGCAGCCATGGCTGAGGTTGATAAACCAATGCGTGGAGAGAGCGTGGAGGGATGGAGGGAGAAACGTGGAGACGGAAAGCTCGAGAAGGGAAAACGTTTTTCAATTGAATGAGCAAAATGCCACGGCAGCCCTTTTTATGCCCCGCTTGTTGCCTCCCACCTGTCGCCTCGTGCCCTCCCCCTGAATTTCCCCGATTCCTTATCCTGGTTTCCCCCCGCTGCGCCTTGAAAGTGCCGCGCCTGAGGTTTTGGGCGGAGAGAGGTGACTGGGATGATGGGCGAACGGTGCTTCGGTGGAGGGAAAATAAACGGCGGTGCAGTTTGGTGGCATGAGATTACGAGTCTGCGTTCCGCCAACATTGTCCCCGAGGGGGAGAAGGGGGGAGGGGTGGCGCGCATGTGAGGCTGAAACACTGACAACACGCCAGCCACCAGATCTGATGACGTTGGCGGTGCACGCACTTTCCGCTGAGATGAGCGCAGATGCGGCAGAAGGAGCGTGGAAATTTGAGGCCACGCTTCCAGAACCATCGTGGGATACCCGTCTAAAACAGCCCGGGATATCAAAGATATAGTACAATTGCGTGTTTATCCCAAATGTTTCTCCAAAATCCTCATTGTACATGAGGGTTACATCGCATGAAGAAACAGAGAGAAGGAAACGCAGATCCCCATATGCTAGATTTGTGCCATCGAATATTCAGCTTGAAAATTACCGGTTGCGAACATCGTCATACCCTCTTGCCCTAGACTTAGTCACGCGTGTTGTTACTATAGGCAAATCATGAACCATTTTCCCTCTCGCATACCCATTTCTTGAAATCCTTTCTCGTTCATCAAATTACATCCCTGTATTAAACTAAGGTAGCTAGGAGTAGGAGGAAGCCATGGAATGGCGTGAGGTTTAGGTAGGAGAAATTTCAGGAGAGAAAAGTGGGAGAGACTAGGAAGGGAGAGGCATACAAGGAGGGAGTTGTACCCTCTACAATAGAGTTCGATAAACCTACCAAGCCTACCAATTGTTGGAAATATCTCAAAGAACTTAAGCGTTTCTGAAGTGTAACACTACACTCGAGGAAGACTACAAGGGAGCACGCGAGTCAAGGGAGGTTACACGAGGGGGCGGACAAAGAATGCGAAAGGTCGCAACTGGAGGTTGCGACTGACCGTTACAGCATCATGGATGGTAACCGAAGTAGCAATCGAGTCGCTGTACGACTCGATAAACCGTTCCTGTAACTGTACTCTACAACTGCTTTCTTATCTTCTATATATTGCTGTATGCTTGTTCCCTTAATCAATCACTTGTTCTCACATACTAGTACAAGGGTTCAACTGCCTCAACTTCCGCTGCACTACTCCAAGTCTCAAGTCTCTACAAGCTGGGACTTAGTCTCTGCAAAAGATCCTAAGGGCTTTTTCTCAGCCCAACATGGTATCAGAGCTGGTCAGAGACCAAACTCCCAGCAACTACGCTCCATCAACAACCTGCAACTCAACTCAATTCAACGACTTCATTGATTACAAGACATGGACAGCAAGGGCAAGAAAGTCTCTACGGGCTCACCCAGCGCCCAAGAAACTCAACACGGCAACTCTGGTCTGCACACCTCAGGACTGCAGACAGAGACCGGGACTGCTCAAGAAACAACGGGAAGAGCACCGGAGATGGTGACTCCGTCTCCCTCTTCAAGTGTGGACCCGAATCTCATGGAGAGATTCTTCAGCTTCATGTCACACTTCGACCAGCAGCAGCAGACAAGGACACCTGCGCACTCAACACAGAGCAATGGAGGGAATATGGGATTAGCGCCGATGAGCCTCGACAACTCATCCTTCGGGCGACACAATCAAGCACCTACTTTTGCGCCTTATCACTCTTCACCGGGGACGTTCGAGTTCATGCCGCCCCGTGCCCAGCCAACAGCAGCTGCATCACAACAAACACCGAACGAAATCTTAAGTCTTCAGGCACAGTTCTCACACGTAATTAAACTTCAGACATCCTCACCGTTCAACGGACACGACTTCTTTACCTGGAGCTTCGAGTTCGAGCTGCTGATGGAGGCCGCGCATCTTCTGGGATACTTCAACGGGTCCCTGCCATTCCCAAGCAACGGCACTGGGAAGGAACAAGAAATCTTCACGTATCAGTCGCTGCTGGCGTATACGGTACTCCTGAGAAACCTGTCACCACAAGAGCAGCAGAGCATCAGAACGTATCGAAGTTATGGAAACTCCGCGGAACTCGCATGGCATCATCTCAAGTGCCTCTATCAAGCAAACGACAACGTGACACAAAGCAGACTCATGCAACAGCTGACAACAATACAGATGAAGACCGGGGAAAAGGCGATGCAGTATATGAGTCGCTGCCAGACCCTCCGCGACCGCCTGCTTCGGTGCGGAGGAACGATCACTGAAGAAAGCTTCGTGACACTTGTCCTCGCCGGGCTCGGGCCAGAATGGAGAACCACACGATCACTTCTTCGAGCCCACGGAAGAATTTCGGAGATGCACCTCTGCGCCGAGCTTCACGCTGAACAACAGGAGATGGATCTGTTCGAGGAAAGACAACCAAGAAAGCAACAGCAGTTAGTCTTCTACACTCAACGAAGAAACGACAACACCTACAATCGACGCGGCAAGCAAGAACGCGACAACAGGGGACTTACCTTCGTGCCGCCGTTCTGCCACAACTGCCAGACTTCCGGGCACTCCAAGGTCAACTGCAACCGCCCTCGCGTTTACCGTCCAGCAGACCCACAAGTCGCTTCCACTCAAGCAAGTCCCCCAAGGCGCTCTTCAACATCTGCACAACAAACACCAAACATCATCAATTGCATGGTACACATCGACAACTGCGCACCCGGATCACCACCCACCTACGCGCCAGACGAAGAAGAGCTGCCTCCACCGCGCTCACAAGGCCTTCAAGTCAATCCAACATATGCTGCGGTCGCCAACGCCGAACCCACCGGGCGAAACACCTGGTTCTTGGACAGCTGCTGCGGTCAACACATGTGCTCCTCGGGACGCTTCGTGCAACAGGAGAAACGCCTCAACCGCGACGTCGTCATCACCGTCGCCAACAACGAAAACCTGAAGACAAACAGACAAGGCGTGGTTCAGTTACAATCGATGGAGACAAACGTCATACTTCAGCTCAACAAAGTGCTCATTGTCGACAATCTAGGATACAACCTACTAAGCGTAAGCCAACTAATGGCCAAAGGGATTCACCTGGAGTGCGACTCCTACTCCAACGAGTTTCGAGTTTACCACGGGAAGGGCGGCCTCTTCATCGGTCGTGCCCTCCTGAAGTCCGGCGTCTTCGTGTTGGACTTCGTCCCCGACCGCGGTACTGCCGACAGCGACGGTATCGTATCATTCGCCGCCTGGACTCACCCGCCGGATCTTGATCCCGACTTCGACAGTGACGGCTTCTGGCACTCCAACACCATACCTGCAGCAGAGAGAACACGAGCATTAGCAGTTATCAGACAAGAAAGACAAGTACCCGCACGTGTCCTAACAAAACCATCACCTGCAGTATCGGCAGAAGGACCCAGCCGAGTACCACCACCAGCGACACGAGAACCACCAACCGAAGCAGACCAACTTATGCCCGCCACACGAGAAGCTTGTCGAAGTCCCGCCTCGGTCGTCGCGTTCTTCTCCAACGCCGACATCTACCACCGCTCGCCTGGTCACCGCGCTCCCGACGACATCTGGCACCAACGTCTCGGACATCCTGCAAACAGCACGATACTTCAAACAATCCAAGCAGATGTGTTAGAACGCAACGCCCTTCTGACGACGAGCGGCCAAGAACTTCGACGACCACGCGCACGGTGCTTCACATGCCCCGAAGCAGATCTTCCTCATCAACCTTTCCCATCCCATCACAACCCAAGCGCACCTACTTACGCTCCGATGGAAAAGGTCTACAGCGATATTTTAAACATGCCTCGAGACGACACCGAAGCCGACTTCAACTACGTCATCACGTTCATCGACGCCGCAACAAGATATGTCTGGCACTTCAATCTCAAGACGCGCGATCAAGCCTTCGAAGCCTTCACAACATGGCTTCCCATCGCCGAACGAGAATCAGGACTCAAACTCAAGAGCTTCCAGTCAGACGGTGCACTGGAATACCAGTCACAACGCTTCAGGACCTATCTGGCGGAAAGAGGAATCAGACGCCTGGTGTCCCTGCCCTATGCTCACCAACAGCAGGGGGTCGCAGAACGCATGAATCGGACCTTGCAGACGACAATGCGAAAACTGCTTCAGGGGATGAGACTGCCAACCACACTGTGGTCCGACGCGATGACACATGCTGTTCACCTGCACAACCTGCTGTCCTCGTCATCACTTCCCAACAACGCATCACCGCACCTGTTGTGGACAAGAAAAAGGGGCAGCACAAAATTACTCAGAGTTTTTGGCTGCATGGTACAGTACAGACCCCACACAGCCCGAGCAGGACGCTTCACACAACGAGCTCGGTGGGGACTACACCTCGGCATCGCAAAACATTTTCACGCGTGGAAAATTCTCGACATACAAGACAAAAATACCGTGGCATCACGTGATGTTATCTTCTACGAGCGACTGACGCTGCAGCATTACCTGGACAACATTGCCAACACACAAGACCCCACCGACGGCTTCTCGGGACTTCGTTCCTTCGCCGACCGTGCTGCCGAAGCTGACGCAGCAGAAGAAGACGTACCTGAAGCCTCGGAAGCTGCCGGACCACTCCCATTCTGTTCCGTACCTGTTCCACTCGACGAAGACAATCCTCTCGATAGCAACAACCTCGACACCTTTTACCACTTCGCTGACCAAGGTTACATTACACCCCACCCAGTCGACACAAATGTTTCAGAACGCATCGGTCCCAACTTCTTACCTGACCCAGAAGACGGTGACGAAGCAGCTTATTCCGGGAATGAAAATTCCCCTCGACACACACCCACGGGACTGCAGATTCTAGGCCTCTGGGTCTCCGTCCAGCATCCGCCGCCGCCTTCTCCGCGAGAGCCTTCGACCTTGTCGCAGGCTCTGGGGGGGGAACATAAGGCGAAATGGAAGGA